CACACACACACACACACACACACACACACACACACACACACACACGGAGAGAGATCATAGATCAAGAGATGAAACCAAAGATATACTCAAATCATCTTTTAAAAATTAAAAAAAAAAGACAAGTTTCTTCAACAGCACACAAAACTCGATAGTGTTGAAATGGGAAATTAACAAATTGGACTATGACAGATAGAAAAATATATTTGTCAAAAGACACAAATTTCAAGAAAGAAAATAAACACAGATGACATGTTTATATTCATGTTCATATATACCGTGAATTGCATGCTTAATATTTAAAAAACTATAATAGATAAGTGTGTTTTTATGAGCTAAAACTTGGTCAGTCACAACCTTCTGAGGGCTAACTTGATCGTGGTTTTTCTCCTCCAAGGCTTCTTACACCCACATTCTTGGCTACCTGAACTTTTACTAGGTGTCTCCTTTAAATATTGATGTTTAAATACTTCTTAGTTTCTCTCATTAACTTTCTGTTTCTACTACACAAATTTAAGGCGATTTCAGTGACTGTCTTCCTGAGAGGTGCTGAGCCAAAATGAAACACGCACCTCTCGCATAAACTGCTGGGGAGAAGGTACGCAAAGCAGAGGCATGTCTCTCCCCCCATGATCTCCAGACAAGGGAGAAAAGTGGTTCATGGACAAATACCTAATCAACTAGGAACTCAACTCAGTGCAGTCTTTCATTTGCTGATGGTAAGAACTACCCTCTTTCAAGAATGCTGCGAAAGTCCCTGTGCCTAAAGGCTACTGCCTGGTATCCCCATCGAATGTCTCTAAAACATGACTCTCCCGTCACCTGGTGGTAAATCTTTTCCCTGATTCCAGGAGACAAGTACCTATAATAGGATCCCAAACTCACTGGAACTGAGACCTCAGCTCAGTTCCTAGGTTCCTCTGTGCTGATTAGTTACTCAACCTTGAGTCTGGAGAATAATGTCACGCCCAGATGTCACTCATGAACACTGGCCTGTAGGTGCATATTTGGAACTCCTGAGCACATTCACAGATAGAAGCTGTCCTGGCATTCCCCCATAGGATTCTGTCTATCCTCGCATACTCTGTGCAGGTGTTGGCTTTCCCTTGGCAAATGCTGATGTTGCAACTGTACCCTGGACGCTCATTATTTGTGCCCTTGGTTCTTTACTTAGCTCTGCAGCATTCATTCCAGCCTGCAAGTTAGAGACCAATTGTGCTGCACCAAAGCCCTGATCTTGCAGCATTCTCATGGGATGAAAACACTTCCCTGTCTTTATGAAGCTTTAGTGTAGTTTAACCTTAAAGGACTTCAACTGCTGTATGCTTCTCTCTTTTGAGATATAGGGCATTCGCTCAGTTAGCTTCCTTATACCCAGACCTCCCATTTTCCTCCCTGATGACCTTCCAATTTAT